CTGTTCAAACCTCAACCATAGGATGAATCCATGGCATGATAACAGTAGGACTTGATAGTCTCCCTCCTAGTTGAGCCATTTTTTCTGTAGTTTCCCGAACTACGTTTGCTCTGATCTTTCATACCAGATGAAAGTACGTAGGCATAGGATGCGATATCCTAGCGAGCAACCTTCCACCTTCCCCCGTAGTTAGCCGAACTACGTTGACTCTGATTTCTCATTCTCTGATGAGAATACGTAGGCATAAAGTGCGACGCTTTGCCGAGTCATTTTTCTTTTCTTTTTCAGCCAGCCTTGATAGGTAGATAGATTATAACCAACCCGTCCAAGTAAACAAACAAGCGAGGATCCCGTCGAGTACGACGGACGTGAGGGGTGCTAATACCTTCCCCTTGCGTAACCGACTCCCGAACCCAGACAATGGTTGCGATGACCTTGTCTTACCCTTTTTCGTCAGGTTTTTCCGATCGTTTCCTTTCCCGCTCTGAGGGATAAATAACGAAAGGTGGCGACTCTTCTGTCATGCCGGCACCTTATTTTCGCGCAAGCGACAGCGAGCAGCTGCAAACTTGTCTGGGTTGAATCCTCTAGACGCAGGCTCTTCTAGTAACATATTTTGGGGCTCGCTAGGCGAACCATTCTGCTCGCCTAGCGAGCATGACAGTTCAGCAACCATTTTTATAAGTAGTATGGGCCACTTTTTGTAAAAATATCTTTTTGTTTTGTTTTTGCTTCAGAGGTGATTTTTATGCCCTAGAAACCCATTCTTTCATTCTTCATCATCTCTTGACAATATTTTCCAAAAAGAAGGTGGATTCCCATCCAATCTCAATTCTTCGACTCGGATGTTGATCAACCTTCTCCCGAAACTTATTGTGCAAGCTATCGTGGAAATGAGTGGCTAAATCCCTCTTGTGTCAAGGTTAGAAGTAGTTGGTTCAGATTTTATGTATTCTTCTTAATCTCTTGTATGTGAACAAGTTGTTATTCAATATAGATGAATTTATTTGCTACCATTTGTCCATTTATGATTTGGCTTGTATTAGAGATAAAATTTCTAAGTCTTGACCTAATATCTTCATCTATCAACTATAAAAAATTCTAGAGATAGATTTGGAAGTTGATATCCGCTTTGTATCAATCATTAATGCTTATTGTTTTGAGTGTTAGGTAGAGAGATCATTTAACGGTCGAAATAATATTTTTCACGAAAGCGATTTAGAGATGAATGCTTTTGCGAGGATACGCGGTTATGTTGGTTAGAACTTCGTTCACATATTTGATTGGGTAAATACATTTAGGACGGACTAACTAAACCTAATCTTGACATGCTTTTATCAAACTTAAAGACCAATTTTTATTCCGATTTTATTATTGCAAACTCTTGTTACAAATATTGATACCATTCTAAACCCCCTACTCTTAAGTTACTAAACCGTTGAACGACACACATATATTCACTTCAATCTCTGTGAATACGATAAAACACTACCGCAAATACTTTCTAACATATGGCACAAACCAAACTCTAATACCAACTAAAGATGAGAAAACACAAGAAGAGGGTTGAATTGTGTTAAACTTTTTCTTTCTTTTTAAAGCTCTAGTCAGATTCTAAACATAAAATGTAGAATCTGAATCAGAGGTAAGTGATAGAAAGTGGATAAGGAATGAAAGAAACATGAGAGACACACAAAGTTATCCTGCTTTCTCTCACAAACCAAGAGTAATCCATTCCCCTTGTACTTACAGGAGACTTTTACTATAATCACACAAGATTATAATTTGTTCAAGCACACGAGTAAGAGATTTCCAATGCTCAAACACAGAATAAGAGACTTGCATGCTTAAGCACACAAGTAAGAGACTTTAAATGCTCAAACACTAAATCTCCCTAATAGATAAAAGATTGTTTAGGGTAATACACTTGATATACAATTAGAGGTGTAGACAGAATACAATACAAGAAGACTCTTCAAGACTTAAGGATTTCTAGAATATACAAAGATAAGAAATCCTAAGTTAAACTTGTGTTTATATTTTGACATAGTAAATGCTCTTTGAATTTTAATGTTTTTTTTTGTTCTTCAAGTATTCATCTCCTTAACTAGAGAAAGAAAAAAGTTGTTGAAGAGCTTGCACAAGAGAGTCTTTTAGAAGCTTGAATAGAAGACGTTTCTTCAAATGATTAATGTCGTTGAAAGCTTGTTTGAAATCCCTTTGCTACAAAAGGGATTATCAGTTACATAGCTAACTCTATGAGAAAAAACTTAGGTTTTCACGTGATCGGAAGAATACAAAGTAGGCTAAGAGTCTGATAGTGACATATTCGAGTCACTTTGACTGACTTCAGGTTTTGATCGTTAGAGGTAGACTTCTTCAAAGTCTGGTCTTTAGAGGCTGAGCTCTTCAGAATCTGGTCTTCAGGTGTTGACCTCTTCAGAATCTGATCTTCAAAAGTAGACTTCTGATCTTTCAAATTCTGTTATTTAAGCTTCTCTTTTGATGTTCACTGTCAAAATTAGTACTTGGTTTGTTCCTGAAATTTTAGTCTATGGTCATACACATCAAACAAATGTTAGTATACCCAATTGTTCTTTAAAAACGTTGTTATCATAAAATCCTAAGGCATATAGTACAAACCAATTTTTTCCAACATGCATCAATGCTTAATCGAAAATACTCATCATGATGATCAAGAGCTTTTAAAATACGAAGAAACACATGTTTATGCATTTGGTATCTTCGACGAAATTACTCGTATGTGTATACGGGAGCTTCTGAAAAATAATCATGGAATAATCGCTTGTGTCCCCCTTTCACAATTCCTCCCTATGTTCATTCTTTTATGCCTAGGCCTACTAGAGCTTGCGACTTCTTCTTGTAATTAACTTTCAAAGAAAAGCCTCACAATTTCTTCATCCATGTCATCATTTATATAATTCATGAAATTTTTTGCAATGTGAGAAGGATTAGAAGGATACAAATAAAAATCAGTTTGATATTGAATAAATGATAATAACAAATTGTGGTAAGGGGATAATGTTAAGAGTATTTATAAAGTGATATTTAACGGCTAGTTCGAATAACGATTAGTTTGAGTAAAACTATTTTAAATATCAGCTAGTTTAATAACAATTATTTTAAGTAACGGCGGATTTGAATAACAGTTAGTTTAAATAAAGGTTAGCTTGAACAACACCTTGTGCCTTCCAACATACATAATAGTATTAATTAAGTTCATATTCTCCTCTAATAATGTCGCACAATAATTTATGAGCGTGTAGTTGTCTTGGATTTATATTTGTTGCATTCTTCGATAAAATTTCCTAATCATAGATCTTCAACCTCTCAATTTTATTCTCAACCTTCTTCATCTTTACATCGACCTTTTTACTCTCTATATCGACCTTTTCACCCCTAATATGTGCATAAACATTTATGAACTCTGACATCAATTCTTTTTTCTTTTTAACTCATCTTTCAAAGTATTAAATTTGATAGTGCGAGTAGACATTCCACAAGCTTTTATTTATTCTTCCTTTTAACTTCTTTTTTACTGATTGGACGATGTCAAGATGTAACTGATAGCGGATTGTATTATAGTGAAACTCATCAATTCATGATGCTTGTTATAAACTTTAGTGATCATCTTTCAAAAACTATCTCATTTTTTATCAACTCTAACAATTAGATCCTTTAAAATGTTGAGTTATGATTAAATGAAAACTTCATCCTCTTTTGGTTGAAATTTTATTTCTTCGTATTCAGGCTAGTGTCGATATGACTCCTTTAGTGAGGTTAATGGTTTCCAAACTACCATGAGTGCAAAGTTGTTATTTTTCACATTCTTGATCATTTGATTGCACACAACTATCTATTTGAATCCCGCGAGGTATAATGATGTTATTTGACAGAGATAGAAATTGTTGATAGTGATATGAATAAGATAATGGATGATATAGATAACTTCTAAAATATGAATTTCCAAAATATGTGTTGATTTGAAATGGAAGAACTACTATCATTTTGTGTAAAATTAGACCAAGAGTTATGGCGATTGAAGTTCGTTGACAAAATGGATAGAATAAGAAAAATTAAATAGAAATAAAATCATTACTCAAATATATGCTATATGTAAATGAGAAATTGTGAAAAACATTTTAATAAATCTTTTATTTATACTAAAAAAAAAGTATATAACTGTTAGCATTATAAAATATATAATTGTTACCTTTTATAAATTTTGCATATTATAACCGGTTTTGTATAAAATAGTAACTGGGTTTATTGTCTAGGAATTTATTGACTTTTATATTAATTATGGCAGAAAAACTTATAGAAATGTTCTCTGGTAGATCGTTTAACTTGATAAAGAACCCCTATCATGATCAACTATACATTATTTGCTGACACCAACCTCTTGATAATTATGTAGTAATTATGAAAATGTATGGATGTTTCTGCTCTTAGCAACGAAAAGTAGATTTCCTTCTCAATCTTCAATACAACACCTCACTACCATTTTCTCTATCTTGTTATTTGTAAGTAGATCATTCGAAAAGAAGTCGACTAAAACTAGAGGAAGAGTTTTAAAATAAAAAAAAATGATCATGGTAATAACACATCTGATAGAAACAATGATCTTTAATAGAACATTGTAGCATTATTTGATCTAAGTTGCAAACTCCACTTAATGGAATAAGGTTGGTTGGTGTTGTTGTTATTTATTTAGAGTTATTAAGCGTTAAAGACAGAATTCACTGGTACTACAATAAAATAATACAATACAAGTAGTTTATTGGCAAGCAATTGTAGCCTGAGGAAATTCCACCAGGGTCTCTCTGGTCGGGCATACAGAGGAACTCGGTGATCACGACTAAACTCGGAATCAAAAAATACTCAAGATAAATAAATGACCATTTATCTAACTCGGTGTGAAGCTACAAAACTGAGATAGTTGCATTCTTTGTATTGCACCCAAAAAATTCAAGTGGTAACTAGTGTGGTTTCGGCACATAACCATCAACTGCGAAATTCCGAGTGGCAGCAGGAAGAGCTAAACGGACTCCATCAAGTTCAGGTTTAGCGATCACTTGGCAACCAAGACGTGATCTGCATAACTGACAAAATTAGTCTATGAAGAATTTGGCTGGAACATAAATAGAATATGAAATGAAAATTAAACTCCAAGCTCCATGCAGAAAACCCACGTTTCACATAGCCCAAAAGCTAGATCCAACATGTCATTTTCCTCGTCGGTAGGATCTTCTAATTTATTGTAATATTCTACATCCTGCAAGTTGAAAACACTTCAGGAAAATAATAAAAGTAATCTCAAACGGTACTTCACTCCATATCACTCATGTTTGTACCATGACTATAACGTGGCATGTTGAACACGCAAGTGAGCCCTCACATGCTCCTGCAATAACATCAAGTAAGAAATTTAATGTGAGGACCGATGTATCTATCATGATTCATGACAAAGGCGACATAGAACATGTAGCAAGAATGAAAGATTTTGCGGAAAAAAAAAAGACCCGTTGTAGTTTACATTGATGAAATGATATTTGTATACTCTATCAAACACAATAACCATACATAAAGAAACAGAGATGCATCAATAAGACCATCAGCTTAGGGACGAAAGAGTTTAATGGTAATATATCAAAAGTTCATACCTTCAAGTTCAATGTCATTTTCATGAGCAGCTTCTAACATAGACATTCCAATAGGAACTTTTATAAGATGTTCCTCACCATCCTTATCAACAAAAGTCACAGATATCCTGCATAAAGTTGTATTGAAGAGTGAGAAGCAAAACAGAAAATGACAACTATTGTTTTCTAAAACTAAGATATGATGCCCTTATGCACTTAACCAAGAATGCAACTACAACTATATTTAACTAATCATTTGATCAATCACACTCACATGATGCATAGCCGACATCAAATAGAATTTATGAGCAAGGAGCAACAATAATTGCTTAATTTATCCTAGGCCAGGTTAACGTTAAATAGTCACAAACAGTGAAAAGTCAGTTGAGCATTTGCTAATTATGACGATTCTTGCCAATGGACGTGAGAAATGGAATGGAAATAATTTCAGATGTAAGTGAAAGCTGCAACAACAAATTATACTCCAAGATTGCTATTGTTGCCATATTGGAAGTGTCGGACTCTAGCATCAACCTAATTCCTACTCAGATATCATAACCCCGTGGTTGAGAGCCTGAAATCTAGAAAATCGGGATGCCAACATACATGTAATGGTAAGTTAGAGTGCCAGACCTCATTACATGTGTGACTAAACATTTCTTGCATTTAAATGCTCTCAAATTCCTCTGAAAGTTAATCATATAAAAAACTTTGAAGTTCATGACATTGTTATTAAGCCTTTCGTGTTTGCGGGACTCGCTATTGAATATGCTCTATGATCAAGAACTCATGCAGTGTCTGATAATACATTGCTACTGTCAAGTCTCAACAACCACTTATCTATGTTAAAAGTTGACAGTAAGTCTCAGAATTTGGGTTGGGCCTAACTCAACCCTACAAAACCGGTTTGTAAGGTGAGGATTGCCCCCACTTATAAACACAATAGAGCTCATTATATCTAAGCAATGTGGGACTAAATCTACCCCTTCAAAGCCAACACAATGAAGGTGTTAGGGGCTGCAATGAAGGCAAGTCAAAGTGCCGCAATTAAGGCGACTAGGGGTGGACCGCAGTTACGGCGGAAAGTCCAACAGTAAGAGAAAAGGTCCACTTTGCAAACGGTTAAGAGTCCCACATTTCTTATCAGTTACATTGGCGATCTCTTGTTCAATGATCAAACATGCCTAGCTAGAAATAAGAAATCGCCAGTTTATAATTAATTACTAGGCAAAATACATATGTTGTGTGTCAAAATATAACAAAAAAGTTACCATGATGTAAATCTATGCAATGGCTGTTTTAAGTGCCAATGTGCCAGGAACCTAAAAAAAACTAATGGACAAGTAATCAATCTAGGTGATCAACATTACTTCTGCATCCAAAGCTCTAAGTTGTAACCCTGTGGTTGAGAGCCTGAAATCTAAAAAATAGGGATGCCAACATACACAGAGTAGTCATTCCCGGATAGCAGAACAGAGTGGACCACCCAAAAAATGGGATAGCGAGATAGCGTTATAGCAGGATAACTGCTCTATTTGATCATTTTTTGGACAAATTACATATAATAATTAAAACATAATTGAATGTAAAATTAAACAAATAACTCATAAAATATTCATAATCAAAGCACACATCATTCTTGAAGTGCATAAACTACTATGAAGGAAGGTTAAGGTAGAATCTCAACTCAAATTTGATTGAAAAACCCCAAAATTACCCTTAGAAGAATGTAAATTTAAGGGGCAATTTCAGTTTTTTAGAGGGGAAAGGGATAGCTGACCAAAAACCGCTTTGAGCCGGGAACCACTCTGCTCTGCTCCGCTATCCTGCTATTTATCCTATGGCGGCCGCTATAATGTTCCGCACCGCTAAGGCTCTTCCCATAGCAGTAAGCCACCGCTCCGCTCCGCTTTAGCAGGATAGCGCCGATATTGGCCGCTTTTGACTACTCTGAACTTACACGTAATGGTAAATCAGAGTGCCAGACCTCAATACATGTGTGACTAAACATTCCTTGCATTTACATCCTCTCAAATTCCTCTGAAAATTAATCATATAAAAAATTTGAAGTTCATAACATTGTTATCATGCCTTTTGTGTTTGCGGGATTCACTATTGAATATGCTCCATGATCAAAAACTCACGTAACGGCTTATAATACATTCCTACTGTCAAGTCTCAACAACCACTTATCTAAGTTAAAAATTGACAGTAAGAGAAAAGGTCCACTTTGTAACATTGGTGATCTCTTGCAGAATGATCAAATATGCCTAGCTACTAGCTAAAAATAAGAAATCGCCAGTTTATAATTAGTTGGCAAGGTGTCTCAAAATATAACAAAAAAACTACCATGCTTAAATCTATGCAATGGCTTACTTAAGTGCCAATGTGCCATAAACCTAAAAAAAGCTAATGAATAAGTGATTGATCTAGATGATCAACATTACTTCTGCATCCAAAGCTCTAAGTCGTAAAATATGCACCCACATATCTGCCATTTCAAACAAAAAGAAAACTTACGTTTCCTTTTCTTGACTCCCACCCTCAGCAGTGTTGTTAGACGCCGTTGTCGACAGGAAATTATGCTTTTCAAACATGGCTCCCTTGTATAAATTAGCCAATAAATTTTGTTGAAACTGCAAAATCAGAACAATAAAACTATTTCTCTAGATAATCCAAAAGCACATGTAAATGTAAAATTGCAATAAGTTCTAACCGAAGGTTGGAGAGAATAATTCCGGGTGCTTCGAGTGCATCCTGCTCTACATATGGATGTATAATCCCCTATCAAACAAAACGAACCATGAAAAATAATTTTAAGCTCGTTAATTACCGAATGAAAACGTGAAAATGAAAAATGGAAGAAGAAAAGTACTTACTTGTGGAAAGGCTTTTAGCGATGGAAATTGCTACTCTAGTTAGTCGTGAATTTAGGTTTAGCATAGTGGTTTTAGGTGCTTGAAAAACCCTAAATTTGGTTGAAAGAAGGGATAAAAAAAGTAAATGCGAAGTTGATGAATTGAGTCTGAGATACAAAAAAAAAATGGTTGAGAGGTTTGTTCTCTTCTCTGGTTGCTGTGAGAAGCCGTCGAGTTGAGGCGAGGAAGAAGAAGAACCACACTGCTTTTACGTTTAGTGCTGTTTTTTTTCTCGTCTTTTTTGTTTTTTGTCATGAGCTTTTCTTTTCTTTCAAGATTGTACTAGATTGACATGCCCATAAAAATATCATAGGCCCAAATTAGGAGGAATTTCCTCCTACATCCCCATACAATTATCTCCTACCCCCACAAACATTGTCAAAAAAAAAAAATATATATATATATATATATATATATATATATATATATATATATATATATATATATATATATATATATATATATATATATATATATATATATATATATATATATATATATATATATATATATATATATATATATATATATATATATAGATATATAGATAGATAGATATATAGATAGATAGATAGATAGATATATAATTTTTAAAAATAAACGACAAAAGAAGTTTAAACATTAATACATTTGTAAACTTATCAAAATTGTGACGAATTTTCTGCATCTTCATCAAACAAATAAACTATATTTTCATATTTTTATAGACCTTAAAAAGTTGTGAATGGTATGTGATTTTATAATTTTGTTTGTTACATATTTGACAATTTTAGAAATTGTGTAATTCAACTTTTTTGCGCCTTTTGTTTAAAAATAAATAAAATAAAAGAAACATCATATTTGGATAACTTCTCATCTAAGTTCTAGAATCATACAATTTCTTCATTCCAACTAAATTGTGAGCATCAACATTTCACAACCTACTTAAAGACATAATTGAAGCTACCTTAAAACTGCTAAGAAATAACCTACAATATGTAGTAATATGCTCAAAGATAATATTTTTCAAAATATAATTAATGCAGTCCGCTCTAATTAGTGCATTCGATTGGATGATAATTCTCTCCAACTTCAGCTCTTGAGAAATAGTAAGACATCATCTAATAGCCAACATTTTGGTCACCATAGGTTCAACTGAAATAAGATCTTTCCTACTAGTAGCAAGAATAGTTTACATGTCATGGTTCTTGATGATGCAGCCAAAGGACACAAAGCCTTTCCTTGAAAACACCTGCGTAAACCTACAAAACATGAACATTTTTTGGGACAATTTTCAAGTCAGTGTGCAAAAGTAGCTTTTTCTTTGTGTCAGCCTCAGGATTCTGCTTGTTAAAATTAAGCACACTCTCAAGAGCTTCCTCAATCATCCTAATCAGATTTAAACTCTTATGTTAGTATTATTGTAAGTTACAGGCATTCTAAATCTTCTGGATCAGAGAACACAATAATTGAAGCACAACATGTCATCACAAGTCAACAAGCTCAACAACCATTCATTTATCCCCATATCAAATGGAACACGATAACTTAAAATGGAGGAGAATAAAGCTTGTTTTACAAACTCGCATTGCAAGAAAAGATGGTGTGCATATTCAACAGAAGAATGACAAAGAGAGCAAAAGACATCTAAACTATTTTTGTGGTGCCAAATTAACTTGTCTTCAATGTTCTTGAGAAATAAAGGAATGCTTACAATTTGTTTTTCTTCCTCCGGTCAAAACTAGCATAGATCAAGTACCTCATCCATAAGCCCAACTCATCGTCTATAAGATCACTCACCTTGGACTCCCTGTCGATAGTGGCGGAGCCAGAAAGTTTTTGAAGCCTGGGCAAAAATTTAAATACAATAAATTCATATTGTATATATAAATAGTTATTAATCAAAATAAAAGATTTTTAATTTAATTGATTTCGGCAGAATTTTAAAATTAACATAGTCATATCCAATTTGAGGCTGATACTAACATGGAATATCATTTCATGTGATTCATAATAATTCTTGAAATTAGCAACAAGTTAACAACATAATTTTATTTACTAACTACTGTAACTACAAACTAAATTTAAAATACAAATTCCTAGTTAACATCAATTGAACCATATAATTCAGAGTGAACATAAATTGAAGAATTGGACCTAATATATTTTTTATATTATTTGAGGATAAAATTTATTCTTTTCTTCTTCTTTTTTACAACATTATACATGTTTTTTTTATAATTTTAGTAGCTGCTACTTTTATGTTAAATATTATTTTTTCAAGTATTCATTTTTTGTTTTTGGTTAATTTGGTCATAAATAGTAACTTTATTTTAATTTTGCACTTTTTGTAAAGTAGTTGAATCTAAATATTATCATATAAAAAAATTAATATAATGTATGTTTAATTGCATAAAAAAGGAAAAAAAAATTATGTTTTATTTGTGAAAAATGTTTAAATTACGGCGGTTATACTCCCATTATCAATGACAAAAAACTGCCTTTTTATTTAATATATATTATGACATGAGAAATTTTATTCAAAAGTACTATTTTTTTGCATTTTCGTTAATTATGTCGGTTTTAACCGCCATAACAACACTTATTAACCGCCACAATCTTCATATTCTTTTATAAAAAGAAGGCAAAATTTTGGAGCCGAGCCCGGGCACATGCCCAGCCTGGCCGGGCCTTAAAACTGCCCATGGTGTCGATACTTCTCATTGAACCAAGTATTTTGAAGCCTATATTTTTCGTGAGCCAACTATCTTTGCAAAGAAGCACTTTTCTCACCATTGCGCTCACGCTCTCTTTTGAATTAACTCTATAGCACTTAGGATACTTCTCAAGACGTAGCTAGGTGCGAAACCAATAGAACTTTCCGTGATGGAACTCCTAGGGTAATACATACCTTTAAAAAAATTCCCCAACAAGGTGTGGTCACCTAACAAAAGACGGCAATAGTGCTTACCCAAAAGGCTTGAGTTTAATTCACTGATGCTACGAAAACTCCCTCTTGCTCCTTTTTCTCGCGCCAACTTTTCCCAACTCAGCCAATGCACTTTCCTCTCCGCATTCTTTGAACCCCACAAGATATTAGCCAACATCGCTTTTATCTTATGACAGATTGTCTCAGACAATTTGTAACAGCTCATGATGTAACTTGGGATCACTTGGGCAACTGCTTTGATTAAGACCTCCTTCCCCGCTCTTGATATAAATTTCTTCTTCCACCATTTAATTTTCTTCCAAACCCTTTCAATGACTAGAACAAATATGTCCCTTTTTTATCTCCCAAAGACAAATGGAAAACCAAGATATTTTGAGTGGCTCGATACAGTCTTAACTCTCATCCTTGAATAGATCATATCTTTATCTTCCTTATGAACGTTTTAACTAAAAGACGCCTCTTATTTATCTAGGTTCACCACTTGACCAGATGAGGTTTGATACTATTGAAGGATTTCCAAAATATGGTATGCTTCATGAAAGTTTGCTCTAGCAAAGAGTAAACTGTCGTCAGCAAAATACAAATGAGTAATCACCTGGGCCTTTCTAGCCACTTGGATTCCGTAGATCCTATTTTTTTGAGCCTCTTGCTTCAATAAACCTGAAAGGACATCAAAACACAAAATAAATAAGTAAGGTGAGGGGGATCCCCTTGTTAGAGTCCCCACTCAGGGAGAAAACTCATACTCGATTGGCCATTAACCAGGACTTTGTAAGAAACAATGGATATACAATTCCTAATGAGATTAACCATAGGAGCTAGAAAACCCACCGAGGAAAGAACTTCAATGATAAAAGGCCATTCCAGCCGGTAATAGGCTTTTAACATATCTAACTTGAGATCCATGAATCATCTCTTTCCTTTTGTCTTTTTTTTCATCCAATGGAAAACTCCAGCATGAATCATCTCTTTCCTTTTGTCTTCTTTTTCATCCAATGGAAACACTCCATAGCCACCAAAGCATTATCTACAATAAGCTGACCTTTCACAAAGGAATTTTTCTCCTCATTAATGATCTTAGGAAGGATGTGTTTAATACTATTAGTTATCCTCTTCATAACCACCTCTGAAATTCTAGTAACAGACAGTGGATGTTATACTGGATGTTATGACATCCACTATTGAACAGACAATTAAGTTAAGCAGTAAAACATCTAAAGGTAGCAGTAAATAACACAGGGAATTGTTGAACCAGTTCGGTGCAAATCACACTTACTCTGGGGTCTACCAAGCCAGGGAGAAAATCCACTATAAGCGGTGTTAATTCAGAGTCAAACTACCAGTTTGCACTCTTCACTTAAGACCTACCCAATGCAGCTTCAGCCTAACACTAGACTTGAGTACCAACTCACTCCCCCTCAATCACAGCAGTAATATCAACTAATTGAAGTTGCAAATTAAATGAAGACACACTTCAAACAAATCTTGATCTTGCTTCACAGCTTCAATCAAGAGACACAACACTCGTGCTTAAAAGCTTAGAGTGACACAATTAACATACAGCTCAAACACACTAGCTCAATGCACTCATACAACAGATAATTGCTTGGCTCACAAGAAATCCTAAGACACAAATAACACGTGAAGAACACAATACACAGACTTAATTCTTCACTTACAAACAACTCACACAACACTCTGTAAAATCTCTCAGTCTCTCTCTGTTGAATTAGGATTGCCATTTCTGTATTTATAGGCATCGTAAGATCCTTGGGCCTTAGTGCAGCAATTAGGTTTAACCAAGTTAAACCTCTTTTCATAAATCAGGGTTCTGTCAATTAGGTCATAGGCATATCATGTTATCCTCAGCATTGCCTAGCATTTCGCCTGAGATAGCTAAGCGCCCTACAATGTTTCCTGGAATCTAGCCTGAGCTAACTCAATCATTATACTAGAAAAACAAACATGCGCCTTTGATGTCAGCTACCTGAAGTCATAACATTCAGTATGACATCCAATACACTTTGTTCTTAGCTAACCAAACTTACCCTGCAGAACACTGCACAAGCATGTCATGACATCAATCATGACATCTA